TTTTTTCAAACAAATTTTGAGTTTTTGTGGGTATTCCCAGGAGGGGAACGTCCTTTTCAATGCATAGGTTACATAGAGGAAAGTTTGAAGCTGCCATAAAAAAAATGTTTTTTTTTTTTTTTTTTTGTATATAATAATGTTTTATGATTTCATAATTTCTTTTTTAAATTTGATGATTATATATTTTTTACCATTGCCTGTTTCAACAGAGTGCAAGTACTTTCTAGAGCCGTTGGGTTGTACGGCAGCCTCTTGCTCTTTATTCTCCTCTGTGCATTCTCATTTCCCTAGTTGTCCTTTCCTATGATCAGGGCTGTGTGTGCACAGAGGTTCTGGGAAGCAGACTGCTAAGGTTTACTCAGGCATTGCCAGGATAAAAACAAATGCTTTGAGCACATACTCTGTCCGCTGTTTATTTTTCCTTCCCAAAATATCATTTTTGAGTATACCTTTAGGCACTGAGCATGTGCTTAGACACAGAAGAAGAAAGAAATTTTGCCTAAGCAGCTGCAGCCTGCTGGGTTCGAGGTCCTGGCTGTAAACTCTGCAGCCTTGGTTCTCTATCACTATTTATTTAGAAGCTAGATTTCAGTCCTGCCCGGTTCTCAGTCAGCAGATATTTGTTTCTTAGGATATTGCCAAGTTTTTGCAAAAAGGGCCGGGTATTTTTTGAAATGTGACAAACAAGTTCCATCGATGGCCAGCATCTGGAAAATAACAAACTTCACCAGACAATGGCGTGTTATATTTCTTTTCCGCAAGCCCCTGTCCACGCTACTAACACCACTTCTATTTTTAATGAAATATTGATAGAGTTACCGCTGCTTCTATTTTAAATGCTCCGTGGCTCCCCCTGCCAGCATGTCTAATTTAAAGCCAGCTCTCACAGCGTCAGTGCCAGCTGTAGAATGACAGGTGTCCTTTATCTTCATAAATAGCCCGTAATAAGGAGAAGCAACCCTCTCAACAACAACATTGGCAGCTGGATTATCAAGATGATGAGACACGGCTATCCAGTGAGTCTAAAACGTTTCTGTTCTCACCGTTCAGTACACTGCGGGAACTGTACATAAGTTGTTTTGTCTCTGTTGCACACACCGATTTATGAAGGATCGTTACAAAAATAGATTATGAATGAAGGATGGAGCTTCACGTTACTGCTCTCGATCCGATTTTCACTGACTGCATGCCCAGTCTGGTAGGAAACGTCCCCTTGTAATTTATGAATGTTCTGTTTTCATTCCTCCACTTCCAGCTTTCACTTCTATAAACAATTTAAACACTTGCAAGCATGGTGGCATTTTACTTATTCTTTGTTGATAGATTTTTTTTTTTTTTTTAGATGTGTAATAACATAGGCAGTACATTTTTGCATGTGATTGTACATGTTACAATTCATTTTAACAAGAATGATTTTCGTGAATCCTTTTATTAATTTTCAAGTTTGTGTGTCTGAATAAAAACATGCATTGGACAGTAAGGTTATCCACAAACGTACAAGAGATGAATAGGTTTTATTTAATATAGTATAAAGTGCAGCATTTTGTAGCAACCCATTGGATCAGCCTTCATCACAAGCATATACTGTATGTATGTATGTATGTATGTAATAGGCATGTTCAGATACCAAGTACCGTACTTGGCACAAGTACATGCACAGATACTTTTGCAGGTTCAAGACTAAACTAGAGAAACATTTCAAAAGTTAGAAAGCAGCTGTAATTTTAAGGAGCATACGGAGCTCTTGGGATTTGTGCATCCCTGTTTTAATGCTTTATTATTATTTGTTTTATAAATATACATTACGGGTGCACCGATACCATTTTTCCAAGTACAGGTACTGATACTTATCCAAGTACTCACAGATACTGATACATTTTTGTTTAGCGTCATGTGACAGTTTTTCTAAAACAATAGAGAGTAATGATTTCTGGACAGTGGTGGAGCGCCAGAGCCAGGTCCCAGCTGCAACCCTGGTAGTTCTCATGAAAATACCAAGTATCGGTATCTGAACTGGTATCTGGACATCCCTAGTGTGTGTGTGTGTGTGTGTGTGTGTGTGTGTGTGTGTGTGTGTATATATATATATATATA